TGAGGTCAGGAGTTCAAGACCAGCTAGCCAACATGGTGAAACCCCATCTCTACTAAAAAAAGAGGTTCCTGTAATCCCAGTTACTTGGGAGACGGAGGTTGCAGTGAGCTGAGATCATGCCATTGCACTCCAGCCTGGGCTACAAGAGCAAAACAAAACTCCTGTCTCAAAAAAAAAAAAAAAAAAGAAATTTACTAGAGAAAATGTTTGCTACCTGACACCAAATGAACAGGAATATGATTTCTACAAAAGATAAATACTCACCCTGAAGTCGAAGTCTAGCTGTATCCAGGGGGAAAAACACTGTCATGGCTGTCACGCTTCCCTGAAAAGTTTGAAAAAGGCTTTAGCCATTGCGGTATCACAAACATAAGAAGTCACTCCTTTTTTTTTTTTTTTTTTTTACAGGGTCTTGCTCTGTCATCCAGGCTGGAGTGCAGCGGCGTGGTCACGGTTTACAGCAGCCTCAAACTCTTGGGCTCAAGTGATCTGCCCACCTCAGCTTCTCAAGCAGTTGGGGATACAAGCACGTATCACCACATTAGGATTACAGGTGCATACGACCATGTTTGGCTAATTTTAAAATTTTTCTGTAAAGATGGGGATCTCACTTTGTTGCCCAGGCTGGGAGTCACAATTTTTAAATGAACAAAAGTTTATTATTAGCAATGGATCAAATCGGATTTTCAGTGAATAAATACATACAATATTTTAATCTATTAGGATTAGTCTTATTCAAGCTTCTACAGTTATATGCTTTAGTAGAAGCATTTAATTTTTCAGAAGAAAACTCTGCTTCTTTCTCTCTCTCTCTGATACTGAAAAAGAAAATGTAGTATTTCCCTGCATATGACAAACTTAAGGGTTTGCAACCTAGGACACATGTCAAAGATAGCAGGTAAATGGATTTTTCACCTTCAACAGGTCAGTTGCTGCTCCCATGCTCACTCCCTGATAACCCCCAAAATCAAAATACCCACTCATTAAACAGATACATACTTTTATTCTGTGCTTAATACATTTGCCACAAAGTAAAAGGACATGTAAGAATCATATTGTTCTTTGAAATAGTGGTTTGCTTGTGTTTTAAATAGGAAAAATCTCTTTGCTAAAAATTCTTTAAGCTTATCCGAGATAACATGGTGACACAAATTATCAGTGAGAAAACAAGCAAACAACAGTCCTTCCACTCATAAGGTCTTATATAAAAACCATAAGCATATACTTAGGGATGAAACTATATGCATGAAACTTCCATTCTGATTTATGGTTCTCAACCCAGATGCATACCCACTGGTATAGATTTGCAGGCATAAAATCAAGTTTCAGACTGCTGATCTAATAATGGTTACAAACAATACTTTAATTAGTTAATTATTTTAGAGACAGGGTCTTGCTATGTCATCTGGGCTCGATTGCAGGGGAGGGATCATACTTCACTGTAACCTTGAACTCCTGGGCTCAAGCAATCTTCCTCCCTGAGCATCCCAAGTATTTAGGACTACAGATATGTGTCACCATGTCCAGCTAATTTTATTTTTTATAGAGACAGAGTCTCGCTATATTTGCCCAGGCTGACCTCAAACTCCTGGCCTCAAGTGATCCTCTGGCCTCAACTTCCCAAAGTGTGGGAGTACCAGGTGTGAGCCACCGCACCTAGATTCATACAATATTTTAATCATGATGAACAACTAGAATCTAGGTCAACTTTGAAGAGAAGTAAGAAAATTTGGTAGGCCTATTATCTATTTAAATAGGTCAGACTCCATGTCAAGGGAGAATATTCTATTATACTATTTATTTATTTATTTATTTATTTATTTTTTGAGACGGAGTTTCGCTCTTGTTACCCAGGCTGGAGTGCAATGGTGCGATCTTGGCTCACTGCAGCCTCCGCCTCCTGGGTTCAGGCAATTCTCCTGCCTCAGCCTCCTGAGTAGCTGGGATTACAGGCATGTGCCACCATGCCCAGCTAATTTTTTGTATTTTTAGTAGAGACGGGGTTTCACCATGTTGACCAGGATGGTCTCGACCTCTTGACCTCGTGATCCACCCGCCTCGGCCTCCCAAAGTGCTGGGATTACAGGCTTGAGCCACCGCGCCCGGCACTTATTATAATATTTATATCCTTCAAAAGTCATATTCAATGTTACCTCTCCCTACCTATCAGCTTACAAATGGTTGTTCAGTCCTCTAGGTCTTATTTATGGCTCTTTCAGCACATATGTTACAGTGAAATCCAACTCTTCTGCTAATTTGTGAGGATATTCACTCTATATCTTTGCACACCCTAGATACTCAATTAAACATGCATTCAATTCACTGTACTTTCACTTATTTATGGTTTTTTGATGACCCCAACATAAATGTTCTTTTCCAGTAATGACAAATGATTAAATGATATTCACTGTGTCTAGAAATGATACTCAATGACTAAATGATATTCAACGTCTCACAAAACACTAAACCCACAAAGCTTTACAAATCCTACAAATGCATGCATCCAGTATCCTTGTTCATCTTTAGAAGGCAATTTCCAAGAAAAATGGGAGGTGCAAAGTTAGAGAAAGCTTATTAAGTTTATTAAGGCTCTGGCATTCATTTTCTACTGCATGGTACTGCATTTCTGTCTTTCTCTCTCTCTCTTTTTTTTTTATGGCAGTCTTGTTCTTGTTGCCCAGGCTGGAGTACAATTGTGCGATCTTGGCTCACTGCAACCCCCACCTCCTGGGTTCAAGCAATTCTTCTGTCTCAGCCTCCTAAATAGCTGGGATTAAAGGCGCCCACCACCACGCCCAGCTAATTTTTTGTGTTTTTAGTAGAAACAAGGTTTCACCATGTTGGCCAGGCTGGTCTCAAATTCCTGACCTCAAGTGATCCACCTGCCTTGGCCACCCAAAGTGCTGGTGTTACAGGCATGAGCCACCGCGCCTGGCCGGTACTGCATTTCTATGAAGCGTACTGCATAGACAGGGCATCTCCGGATAGAAAAAGTCTAGCCTGGAAGCTACCTCTTCAAACACTGGGCCACCTTCATCAATCTTTTCTGCCAGCTTTAAGTAGATACTTGAAGGTTCCTAACATAAAAGTCCTTGCCTGCCTACCTGGAAATTAAAAAAAATTTTTTTAATGGCTAAGTTGGAAGGTGGTACACATACACTGTATGCTACACATTTTCAATATGTCAGATCTGACTTCTAGTTTCCAGCTGAGACATTTGAGGTGACTGGACGAGTCATTTCTCTGAACGTTTCATTTCCCATAAATGAGAAAATAGGTGAAGGACCTTAGAGAGTTTTGATGCAAATAATGGCTATTAGATATCTTCAAGAGCTTTTTCTCCAGACAACACTGGCACAGACACACTGGGTTCTGCTTTCCTTATATCTCACTTATATCCATGTTCCTCTCACTTTCAATCCCAATTTGGACTCCAAAGGAATAGCGAAAGGAGTCTTTTTAATAATATCTAGTGTTCCTTTGACCTGAAATCTAGCTAAGGGAGGATTTCAGGGCCTCTGCTGGTTGAGGGAGGATAGAGACAATCCATCTTTGCCCATCAACTCACCCAACCCCAGAGCAAGTGTGTATTTGGGGCCCTCTGGTAACCAGATGTGCAAGTTCGTCCTGTCAGGGCCCTTGTGAAGGGATGGGATCCCCTATTTTCTGTCTTTTTTATAAGAGTCAATCTAATTGGGGTGAGGTGATATCTCATTGTGATTTTAATCTGCATTTCTCAATGATTAGTGATGTTGAACATTATTTTATATTTTATAGGCCATTTCTATGTCTTCTTTTGAGAAATGTCTACTCAGAGCTTCCATTTCTAATTGACTTACTTAGGTATTTTGTTTTTTGCTACTGAGTTGTTTGAGTTCCTTATATATTCTGGATATTAACCTCTTGTCAGATGCACAGTTTGCAAATAGTTTCTCCTATTGTGTAGGTTGTCTCTTCACTCAGGCCAGCCATGGCACCTGGCCTGAAGTGTCTTGAGTGTGTGAGAAAAGGGTGGGATTATAGTTGACATGCTGAAGAGCCTCCAGCTCTGTCAATTGTGAGCATTATCTGTTGTCAGAAAATGGTCCAAGGCCAGGTGTGGTGGCTCAGGCCTGTTAATCCCAGTACTTTGGAAATTCAAGGTAGGAGGATCACTTGAACCAGGAGTTCAAGACCAGCCTGGGCAACATAGCAAGACCCTGTCTCTATAAAAAATAAATATAAAAAAGGTGGAGAGGCCAGGCGTGGTGGCTCAAGCTTGTAATCCCAGCACTGTGGGAGGCC